AAAATACTGATGCTAATAGCAAAAATACTAATAATCCTGATCAAGCCGACGAAGTGGCTTTGATACGTTATTCACAACAATCGGATTTTCGTCGAGACATAATCAAAGGCTCTATGCGTGCTCAAAGACGTAAAACAGTTACTTGTGAATTGTTTCAAGCAAATGTGCATTCTACTCTTTTTTTGGACAGAATAGACAAACCCCTTTTTTCTTTTGATATCTCCGGGATGATAAAATTCATTTTGAAAAACTGGATGTATAAAAAAACAACAGAATTAAGAATTTCGGATTATACGGAGGAAAAGACAAAAGAAAGTGAGAAAAAAAAAGAGGAAGAAAAAAGAGAAGAATACAAAAGAGAAGAGAAAGCACGAATAGAAATAGCGGAAGCCTGGGATAGCATTTTATTTGCTCAAGTAATAAGAGGATCCCTATTAGTAACCCAATCTTTTCTTAGAAAATATATTCTATTCCCTTCAGTGATAATAGCTAAAAATATAGCCCGTATGTTATTATTTCAATTTCCCGAGGGGTCCGAGGACTTAAAAGATTGGAATAGAGAAATGCATGTTAAATGCACCTATAATGGTGTTCAATTATCAGAAACCGAATTTCCAAAAAATTGGTTGACAGACGGTATTCAGATAAAGATCCTATTTCCTTTTTGCCTTAAACCTTGGCACAGATCTAAGGTGTCACCCCCCCAGAAAGATCCGCTGAGAAATAAAGGGCAAAAAAACGATTTTTGTTTTTTAACAGTTTGGGGAATGGAAACTGAACTTCCTTTTGGTTCTCCCAGAAAACAACGTTCATTTTTTGAACCCATTTTTAAAGAACTCAGAAAAAAGATTATCAAATTGCAAAAGAATTCTTTTTTAGTTATACAGGTTTTAAAAGAAAGAATCCATTTTTTTTTAAACCTTTCAAAAGAAAGAAAAAAATGGGTCATGAAAAACATTCTATTTTTAAAAGGAATAATAAAAGAACTTTCAAAAAGAAACCCAATTCAATTATTTGGATTAAGAGAAATATATGAATTGAGTGAAACTAAAAAAGAAAAAGATGGGATAATCAGTAATGGGATGATTAATGAATCGTCCATTCAAATTCTATTTATGAATTTGACAGAAAAAAAAATGAAAGATCTGGATGATAGAACCAGCACAATCAGGAATCAAATAGAAAAAATTACAAAAGATAAGAAGAAAGGATTTTTAACTCCGGAAATCAATATAAATATTAGTTATAATAAAAGAAGTTATCCTACTAAACTATTAGCATCAATAAAAAATATTTGGCAGAAATTAAAGAAATTAAAAAGAAGAAATGTTCGATTAATCCACAAATCATATTCTTTTTTCAAATTTTTAATTGAAAGGATATACATAGATATCCTTCTCTGTATCATTAATATTCCGAGGATCACTACACAACTTTTTTTTGATAATTCAAAAAAAATGATTGATAAATACATTTACAATAATGAAAGAAATAAAGAAAAATTTGATAAAAGAAATAAAAATACAATTCGTTTTATTTGGACTATAAAAAAATCAATTTCGGATATTAGTAATAAAAAATCAAAGATTTTTTTATCCTCATTCTCACAAGCATATGTATTTTACCAATTATATCAAACGCAAATTCGTAACTTGTATAAGTTAAGATATGTCCTTCAATATCAATATCACGGAACATCTCTTTTTCTTAAGAATAAAATAAAGGATTATTTTGAAACACAAGGAATTTTTCATTCTGAATTAAAACATAAAAATATTTGGAATTCGGGAATGATTCAATGGAAAAACTGGTTAAGGGTTCATTATCAATATGATTTATCTCCGATTAGATGGTATCGATTAGTACCACACAAATGGCGAAATAGATTCAATCAAACCCGTATAGTGCAAAATAAAGATTTAAACAAAAAGCATTCAGATGAAAAAGATCGATTAATATTAATTAATTACAAAAAATTAAATGATTTTGAATCAAATTCAAAATATAACTTTCAACAATACTATAAATATGACCTTTTTTCATATAAATCGATTAATTATGAAAATAAGAAGGATTCACATATTTCTGTATCACCATTACGTTTAAATAATAAACAAGAGATTTGTTATAATTACAATAAGATATATAAAAAGGGTAAATTCGTTGATATGACAGGAGGTATTATTCCTATTAATTTAGAAGATGATGCTATTATGAATCTGGATAAATTTACAGATAGAAAATATTTTGATTGGAGAATTTTCGATTTTTGTCTTCGAAATAAAGTCGATATTGAGTCCTGGATCGATATCGATACCAATGGTAATAAAAATACTAAGACTGGGATTAATAATTATCAAATAATTGATAAAATGGATCAAAAAGGTCTTTTTTATCTTAAAATTTCCCAAAATAGAGGAATTACGGCATCCAACAAAAAAAAAGACCTTTTTGATTGGATCGGAATGAATGAAGAAATACTAAGTCGTCCCATATCGAA